CGCTGCAATTCTAAGAGCTGACCAAGCTCGTTAAGTGCGCTCGCGCAGCAGCTGCAACTTGGAGAAGATGGTTCACTTTTGGTAGCCGGGCCACAAAACTATTTACGTTTAACAAAATTATGTTGTACTTTGGCATTTTCTTTTTTATCAATAATTTCGGTTTTGGCTCTTGGTAGAAAGTTTCGCAACGAGGCTGCATTTTATGCATGCGACCCCGTAAGGTCGCCACAAGAACAGCACTCGCTTTAACTTGAAGCCAACTCCAATAACTGTGCTCATAAATTGCAATTGTGTGGTACGTGGTGAGGCAGACTGCTTGTTGTTAAACTGGATGGAAGCTGGTTTGGTTTCTTCTTGCTATTGATGCTGCTGCTGCTCCGTCATTAGCCTGATTGAATCTTATTGTTGGCAATTAACCTTCGCAGCTATGAGGCCAAGCAGCAGCAACAGATCAGCAACAGCAGCAGCAGCAGCTCAACAGCAGCTCAGTTCTCTTTCACATCCTGGCCATCATCAGCCACAGCCGCATGGGTAATAACTTCATTTGCCACGGCTGAGACTGACACATGACACAACATGTCATCTGCCTTTGCCCAAACTAATTGCTAGCGACAAGTCGCAAGCCTCAATTAATTAGGAAACGCTAACAGCATACTAGGCGACAGCCAAAACCAAAGCCAATCCGCAGCCTCACATTTGCATGCGCACGAAGCGAGCAGTGTTTGGGGGAAACTGGGGGAGAAAAGACGAGGCGCAAAACATAATCATGACGTGCCTTGGCAATAAGTAAAAAGCTCGCATATTGTACACCGAATTTCACTTAGTAGTAAGGAGCGCCAATCTTAGCCAGACGAACAGACAGAAGACAGCAGACAGCGGAGAGCGAAAAGTAAACGTTGGCTAAGTCGAACAACAAACGATTTGTCAGACGGTTGTTCATTTTTTCTCTTCAGCTCATTTAAGACTGCACTTCCTACTTGCGTTTGAATATTCACATTTGCAATTGCATTTTGCCAGTGTTTACTTACTTAGCATAGCGCTTCCATCTCTTGCCCGCTTTGATCCTCACTACCTACACATCGGCAATAGCTACAGCTGCCGTAACCACAACCACAACCACAACCACAACTGCATTGCATGCAGATACAGCGCCTGTGTCATGACATGACAGCAGCCTAATTCATCATTATGGCTATGCAGTGCTGGCTTTGCAGTTGAATGAGAGTTTTGTCGCGACTTTCGCTAGACGTTCGTATGATGCAGTTACCCACCCATCCCTCTAATCCCGCCCCTCTCACTCATCTGAGTGGACGATCTCGTTAGACGGCGTGCCCGTGCTTAGCCTGATTTCAATACTCCATGCTCCATGCTCCATGCTTCATGCCCCATGCTCTGTCTAGTGATTCATTCATGCGCAGTAGTTGGATTTTTCGCTTGCATGCAGCTGACAATGATGATAATAATGATGATGCATGTGGCTGCAGTTCGGCTAGCATTGCGAGATCATGGCTTAGAGGAAAAGTGCACTGTCGATAGCCTGATGATTCGCCTGTCGGCATCAGCGATGACGATGACGACGTCGACGTCGACGACGACGACGACGACATTATCGTCAGCTTGCAGTCAGAAGTCAGAGATGTCAGTTGAGAGCTCTCCTCTCTGTACTTCTTATCCGACATTGTATCTTTCGGTGTGGGCTTGCCGAAAGCAATGGAAAGTTATTGAAAGCCTGTTAAACGTCAATCTATTGTATCTTGCTTTCTCAAAAATATACATAATGCTACAGCTCTATGCTTACACAGGGTTCAACTTTGATGTTGTAATAAATCAAATGAAACAAGCCGAAATCTTTTAAGTAATTTACGCTTTCAGCTTAAATAGCTCTGCTTTTAATTGGTTTACCAAATAAAACATATATCACAACTTTAAAATGTGCAAATTGCTTAAAAGAATTCATCACAGATAACCTTTTGGATTTGTACAATCAATTTTAATAGAAATTTCCTTTTGCCAAGGTGTGGATGGAATTTCCCTTGCTTTACTTTTACCAAATTTGTCATTCGATTAGTGAACATTTGATTAAATATGAACGTTTTCGTTTCAGCGTGATATGTGCTAATTCCCGCGAAAAAAAAGGTGTCAACTGGTTTTCGTTGAGCGAACTCCTTAATCATCGTAGCGTATGGCACAAATGTTCTGCACGACGTCATTATGAGGCAGGCAACCTCATATGCATCAGGCATGGCTCGTGACATGGAGACTAAACTTTAACTAGGCTTTCGATTGGACTCCAAACTTCTGATTAGTTTTTTTTCCTTCTCTAAACTTTCGTTTTGGCTGCTCATCAAGCGCATTGGAAATGCACGAAAATGTGCCTCAAATTTGTTTGTCAACAAAGGGCGAAAACGAGCTACAAGACATGGCCCGGAGACCATGGAGCGACCATTAAATTCCTGGCCGGTGGTTGTCGCTAATGAAGTCATAAAATCGCATGACATTTTTGCTACCTCCACAGGAAAGCCCCACTGAAAAACAGATCTCCGTTTTTGTTTTTTTTTTCTTTTTTCTTCAGACGATCCTGTGTTGTGTTGTATTGGGGCGCAGTCGTACACACAATTGTCTGGTCGGGAGGATTGTTGTCCAAGTCCAGTCGGCTCAATCGTTCCAATATGCAAATGGACCTCGGCCCGCTGCCACCCACAGACAGCTCGACGTCGTCAACGAGCAACGAACAACAAAGGAGTACTAAGTCGACGACGGCGACGACGACGATCCATATGTCCATATGTTCATATCTCCACTGAGATCTTTTGCTTTCGATTGGCTTTACGACGTCGTGGCACTGGGGATATGCAGACGCGGAAAGGGGGTGGAGTCATTGGCCAATCTGGCTGCGCTTTATTTTCGGCTAAGCTTTATCTTGCCAACTGATTTTTTTTTGTGCATTTCATTTCGTTCGCTTCGTGCTGCAAATATGCAAAAATTGTGGCAATACAAGAGGAGTGAATGGAGAGGAGAGATGGGGGGGGATTACACGTCAGTGGCACACGTTTCGAGGGCCTTTCGTGTCATAAATGGCATAAATATTCCATCTTGACCGGGCAACCTAAATATTTTCTGTGCACTCTCCTTGCATGTTTTTTTTTTGTATATTTTTTCCTTTTTCACTGTCGTGGGCTGGCATTGATTATGCGCCATAAGAGAAAAATTATAACAATGTGCGATGCAAAACTTTCACTTTTTGACTGAGCAGATCTGAAAATGCGATTAAATCGTTTTTCATTTTTATGTCTTTGGGGTATTATGACTGCTGACTTCAGAAGTCAAGATAAAGTTTATGGCAGGTCCGGGTTCGCGCAGGCTGTTTTACCAAATAACTAAAAGAATAAAGAAGAAAGAACAGATGTGAATGCCGTTAATTGAATACCTCGATCGATATTAGCCAAATATGTACGTATAAACAAACCGAGTAATCCTTACCTAGCTTATGTTTACTTATTACACTCAACGAATAAAATAAATATCAATTGACATCTGATAATTAAAATAAATTGAATGCAGACAATATATTAATCTGCCAAATCATCTGAAACCATAAAAAAAGCATAAAAAACATTTTTCAATTATTTTTTTTATTTTAATATTTCATTTATTGTTTGTTTTTTGTTTGTTTGTTCTTTTTTTTTTTTTTTTTTGCTGTGTGCCTAAATTGCACTATTTAATGATTTTGCTGTGAAAATTACTATTTTTTGAGTTTTTGTTTTGAATTTTGTTTACATTTTTCATTTTGTCCACATAATTAGTTATGCTATATGCTAAATTGGAACATTTCGAGTTGCATTTAGTAGTTGAATTTGCGCTTGCTATTTATTTAAGGTGATGTTTGAGTTATTAATTATGAATGCTAATTAACATTATCATTATTATTGTTATTGTTATGATGTGAAACGTGCATTTAATGAATAAATATTTAAAATACAATATTGCAGTTGTGTTTTTGCTTCTATAACTAATAAATGCATTCATGCATTAAAATTAAGCATAATATTAAATCGAATTATTAACTTTAAGATTTTAAATGCTTGTAGGTTTCTTACTAATGTCTGATTTAACTACTAAATAGTTTGTACATAGCAACATTATGACTTAAATGACTAGTCTTTGGTTGTTGTATATTGTTGTTTTTAATATTGTTTAAAAAAAAGCTTTAACTTATTTGCCTTTGCGCTTCAGAGAGGAATGTTTTGTTTGCCATTTACTCTTTTACAATAGACTACATAAAATATGCTATCTTAAGTAGAAGAATCTTTTTTGCCGCACGCTCTTTGAACTAATTGCTAATTGGAGCGAATATTGCAAAATTGCAAATAAGTACGTGTTGATATTTACAGACTATTTACAGTTGTTTGATTGTTGTTTTAAGTACTTTTGTTGTTGTTGTTCTTCTTGTTTTCGTTTTTATGTTGCGGTGTAAGCTTATTTGATATGCATGACATGAATGTTTCATTAGCTTTTATTGAATGCAACTCCAAATGTTTAATATTTTTCGAGATTATGTACGATTACTTTAAAGATTATTTAAACTGGGCAATTTGAATCGTTTACTTTGGAACGAAACGCTTGCCTTTATAAAGACAGAGCTTAAAATAAAAGCCCCAAATGTTTTCAATATTTGCAAAGCTTCCAGTTTGAGCTAAAGTTTAGTTTTTTTTTTCTCGATTCTTTTCGTTTCGTGCTGTCTTTTTCCCTTTTGGCTGTCTTCAATTTTGCGCTCTTCTCGTTTTGCTATGGCAATCTAAACTATTTGCTTTTGTAATTACAAAACAAGAGGAATGAAGTGAAAAGCCACAAAGTTTTCTGCCATTTGCAGCCGAGAACATGCCAGCTAACTCAGAGCTATACAAGCAGCTACCAGTTAACACACACATACTCACACACACACACGTACACACGCTTGCTACCAAACACACACCCAATGACAATAGCTTTAGACGAAAATATCTATTTAGACAAAAAAAAAAAAAAAAAAGTTAAACCATCTAAATTTCGCTTGTACGACTTATAAATACCCTGTGCCCACTACAAGGCTTCATCACAGTAAAGTAAAAACGCGTCTTAAAAAAAAACAATATTATACAGATAGTTACAAATATAGCAGCTAGAATCTGGCATAGATTCAACTGTGGAACGCAAAGTTTTCTGGCTTAATTTTCTGTATAGGCAATGTACCTAGTGTCATTTACTGTCAGATTTGTAGGATATGAAATATACACACACTTGCAAACACTCAACCTCACAATCACACTCACACTAACATTTACACAAACACATACACATACACTTTAACAACGATTTAAACTTGTGGCATCATCGGCAAAGTCGGCAGTTGCCAGTTACAAAAGCTGGAAACAAAAAGCACGCCCTTTATTTGCTTTAATCTGACAAAATCCCTGTACTAATGCCGAACGGCAATAAAGGATAAAACGTGCAGGGCATGTAAAAAGCATGCTGCCACATAACCCGACATCAGCACAGGTTCTCCCTCCCCCAAAAGCCACGTTCTCCTACCCTGCTCCTCCTCGTCTGTCTGAGTTCGTTTTTGCTTTTGTTGTTGCTGATTCGATAGTTTGCACAACGGAAGTGGAAGTGACACTAAATTCGTTTCGGTTTTTCCCAATTGCAGACACAGACACAACACACATACTCACAACCACATAACCATTCACACACACACACACACATGGAACGAGTGGCAGGCAGTCAGACACTAAAGTGAATCCTTCGACGCTTATGGACTGCTTCGCTGGCAGCAAAAAAAGTCAACTTCACAAAATGTTACGTGTAATCCTTTTTATGATCTCCACCAGAATTTGTGCGCCGCATTTTAAGCAGCTAAAGTTACCGCAAATGTTGCTGCAACATGTTGCCGCTGTCCGTTCCGTTTCCGTTGCCGTTGCCTTTGCCGTTGCCCAGTAACATGTCACTGCCAGATCCAGCCGCTGCTCAGGCTGCGTCTACGTTGACGCGCCCAGACGCAGCTCTCAGCCGGTTCTCAGCTGGCGACCACCAGAGTGGTGCTGGCCTGCGGCCAGTGGCTAGTGGTTGCCTCAGTAGGCGCTGGTAAAGACGCGACCGACGACAAAGAGTTCGAATTTGAGTTTGAGTTGCTGTGCAACTGCTGCAGTTGCTGCGGCTGATGGTACTCGGGCTCCTCGTATGCGGCATCCTCATCGCAATCATGCGGATAATGCGGCAACGGCGGCGGTGGTGCGTGATGATGATGATGATATGGATGGAAATAGTGTGGCGCCTGCTGTTGCAGCTGCAGATGTTGGCTTGACGCTGGCGACACGGACAACATTGTGGCAGCTATACCTGTAGGCGGTGGCAGCGGCAACGGCAGCGGTTGCAGGCCGCGTATGCTGTCCGCTGGATGCGCTGTATAAATATTGCTACGTCTCAGATGATTGTTGTTGTTGTTGTTGATGTGAGCACCATTGCTGCCACCGGCAATGGGTGCACCACCGCTAGTGCTGCCTTGACCCGCTCCATTGCCGTGAGCGCGTTTGTTGCGTGACCACCATTGCACATGTGTGTCTGCAAGCAGAGTAGATAAACGGGGACAAAGTTGCACTAAAATGCTGGACACGAGTTGGTAGCAAGCAATAACTGGAAGGCATTGGTAGGCTGCAAAATACTCACCATTACGATTGTTCGAGGACTTTTTGCGACGGCAACGCACCACAGCAATCATGATGATGGCGCCGAGAAGCGCCGACAGCACGGACACAATGATCAACGTCAGCGGCCAGCCCAGTTCGTTGGCTTTCTCTGCAAAGATAAGCGGAAATAACAGGAAAGCATTTGAGTAAGGACTTGTTGGTAGAGTTAGAGCTGAAGTGGGGATGGGATGGTTTCGTTATGCTTACCTATCGTGCCCTCGAACATGAATGTGCTTTTAGTGGGCATGGCCCAGGAGCATAAATCACATGTGGTTAGGCCATCGCTCAGCACGGGCTCATCCACAAAGAAGGGCGGACGTGGTGGTGGGGGCACAAAGCGTCCGTTCCACAAACCCTGTTCGCTGGCATCGAAGGCCATCGGCGAGCCAAACAAATCGTCATCATCATCGAAGATGTCGAATGTCACATCGCCAAAGCTGCTCAAATCCTCCGCCGAGCTGGCCACCAAGCTCGCAATGCGCGGCGGACTAAACGTGGGCAATGCGGGCGTGGAGGAGGAGGATGAGGAGGAGGAAGAGGCAACAGCTCCAGTTCCTGCATCGACGCCAACACCGGCTGCGGATGCGACTTGATTTACAATGTAACTAAGGCGCACATCGTTGCCGGGCAGGAAGCTGACCATTGTCGTCGACATGGCCGACGATGACGTCGCTGCTGTTGTCATCCTGGCGCTAGAGCTGATGCTGATGTTGGCAATTGATGGCATGCTGACTGTGGGGCGAGTGGGGTTAGGAGGGTTCTGCTTGGGATTTGCTTGGTTTGTTTGCCAATCCTTGGACTCTATTCCGCTCTGTTGCCAGTTATCGCCACTGTCTATTGCAGCTGCCTTTTGCACATTTTGAACGGATTTGAGCCAGCCTCGCTGCAGCTACAAATGGCCTGAAAATAGAGTGAAAGAGAAGAGAGAAAGGAAGAAGGTTAGTTGGGGCCAATTAAAGTCTTAATTGTGCTGTCGATATGAAGGCTTTCACATTTTTCATATGTTTCGGCTGAGTCTAAGCTCCTCAGCTATAGCTCGTCGTGTGCTAATCCTGACTAGCTTTAGCTAGGAATGGAACTGACGTCATGCATCACATGCCACAGCGATGTCAGCAATCGTTTTTCAATGACTGTTTTGTACCTATTTCCAATTTGTTTGCCTCTACCTCCCTCCCTCCATGTCAGATGTAGTATCTCACAGAAACATACGTTATATCCACGTGCAGTTCTCATTCACCCAATCCCTCAACTCCGTCTGTCGTTGTATCTTTTCAGTTTGGAAATTGAATTTTTGAGCAGCACTGCCATCTCTCTCCTGTCTCTCTTCTCCTGTCTCTCTCTCTCTCTCTCTCTGATTCTCATCTCATAGCATGTTGTAGAGCTCTTAGCTGGCCCTCTACATATTGTACATGGAAAGCGCTGCTAACGAGAATTGACAGCTTGACAGTTTGCTATCAGTCTGGAAGTCAGCATTAGTTACAGTTGCTGTTATTGCTACTCGATTTTGCTTTATTAAAAACAAACTCACAGAATCAGGACTCAACTCTCGTAATCATCAACTGTTTCTCTATCACTTGACTAAGCGAACTCATTTTGTGAATCTTTGTAAAACAATAATCATGATAAATTAACACTAATTTGCAAGCGACAAGTGCTGCATTTCGTATTTGACTACAGGCGAGAAAGAAAAGCACTCAGTGGCTTAGAGAAAGAGGGTTGAGTGTTGATAACTTGAGGCATAAGCAGTTGCTAAATACTTGATATTAAATTGGAATGCAAGCATTACGAGAGATTGTGGAAATTACAAAAGTCAGAACTATTTGAAAATATTACTTAGCAATGCTAGTTACAAACTCTCTCTCAAACCTTACAAACATCATAAAATATTTATAATGTCATTCGTCACTTGCTGCATGAATGCTGCCCCCTGCAAGCCTGAGCCTCTGACTAAGTCATCGCATAAGAGACAGCAACCGGTGCCATCAGCCGGTGAATCATTCGGCACGTTTCGGGCATTAGCAGTCCGGACTGTTGCCGGCAGTCCGCCAAACTTCAGCGCCAAATGAAAAATGCAACTTCAGGTGAGGTCTGCCTCAAAAAACTACCGTTGCACTTGTCACGAGCGCCCTTCCAGACCCCGCCCCAGCATATACGTATCCATATATCTATATATTTATACATGTATATATGTGTATATATACATATAGTGAGCGAAGTAGTTGAATATAAAGGTTTAAAGTTTTCACGTGGCAAATGGTTAAATAATATTTTCGCCGTCGGCTGCAACTGCAACCATTCACCGCACCTCATCTTACAAAAGGCGAAATCTGGGCTGTTAAGGTGAGGTGGAGCAAGTGAGTAGTGGTGTTGCTGGTGGTGGAATTGATTGGAGTAAACGATATTTAGTCATTCTCGAAAATGAGAAAACGTGATGCGCATAAATTGACGCGACCGTCGGAGAAAGAAAGAAAGAGAATTGCGCTTCACGCAAGCGAATGCGAATGCGAATGCGAATGCTCAATGTGAATCTTTATGAATGAATGAACTCACTCACACACAAAGGCAAACACACACAAACACATAGCTGGAGGTGGAGGTGGAGTGGAGCAGTTGGTCTAAACGGGTTGCGTCTACTCCTTTTTGGCCGTGTGGGTGGCTGTAATTCTTCTTCTTCTTGCACATTTGTGCGACGACGTTGACGTTGGCTATTAATAAATATATTTCGCTGCATGCTTCAAATAAATTGTAAAGTCACGTGAGTATCTTTTTCATTTACTTCTTTTATTTTTGTATTTTTTCGAATTTCTTGTTGTTTGATTTGCCTTTGATGGCAGTGGAGCTGTCGAGTGAAGGAGTCGAGTCTTCTGCTGGGCAGGCAATGTTGCGACAGCTGTCAGCTGCCAGTTGCCAGTTGCCCCAGCTGCCAGTTTCCAAACTGCCAGTTGTCAGTTGCCACATGCCGTCAAGTGCGTGGGCGTCGTCCAATGTCCAAGATGTCTTCAGTTTCAATCGCTTTGGCGGATTCGTGCCTCAGGCGGCAAGCGCTGCCTTCTGCCAATGTTTGCCAATTGCAAATGCCATCGGCACAACGCCCACAAAAATTAAAAATAAAATACAAATACAAAATGTAACTGTACATATGACAATACACACAGGTAACAACAGCAACAACAACAACAACAACAATAACGCCAACGATTCGTTTCATTGTTGTTTGTCAGAAAAGCAATTACACATGTCAAACGATTGCCCCCTCGCTGTATACTTTGTATTTTGTATTTGTTTCCATACTTACATGCACACACACACACACACACACACACACACACACACACCCTGTCAAAGCCACCATCTACACCATTGCATACTCACGCACTGCTTTTTAATTAGTGCAAATGTTTGAACATTATTTTCACTCATACATATATTTTGGCATATTTTTATTTGCCCTGTGAGTAAATAGAAATGGGGCCATACATATTGAAATGTAATACGATATGATGCCAAGCGAAATCTAGTACCAAAATCACCCCACAAACACTGACACGCACACACATCCACCCAGGCAAACGGAGAATACACCAAGCCATAACTATGCCAACATGCCAGACAATAACTACATAAACATGGGACATTGCCAAATTGTTTACAAAGCGAATGATGGCTTTTAATTTAATACGCGAACTCATTGGGAATTCACTTGCGAAATTGGCACGTACCTTCATAAATACTTTAGTTTGTGTTGGCCTATAGAGCGGAATAATTTATTTTTGAAGGTATGCCATAATCCACAAGATTTAAGATAAGTTACGCAAAGTTAACTTCCACAAATCGAAGACAATATCTCTGCTATAAGTATATTTTAATTTGCATAAATTTAATATGCAATTTGAGTTGTACTTACAGTATGAGAATAGATAATTAACTTGCCAACTTGTTCATATCTGTGATATAAATTAAAGAAGTAGAGAAAATCACTCAGAAATAAACTATATCAAAATAGGCCAAGGTTAGGCGGCTGAAACTCTTTAATTTACCACATTCCATAAACGCAATAACAACTTAGATAATATGCATGCGATAAGCTGGTACAACTTGAAATGGCCTGTTTATTTTGCCTAGAGCATATTTTTTGGGCAAATCATAACATTGGTTAACCATAAAAACGGAATTAATTTTTCTATTTATGCATTTTCCCACGAGGGTTATTCGAAATCCGATAATATTATATAATGAAGAGCCAAATTTGCGCACATAAACAAAAAATTCGGGCTTGGGACGCATTGGCGAAAATATGCCTGGATGGGGTCAAGAAAGAACAGGGCAGGACATAAAGACTGACACCCACAATCAAATTTGATTTCACTTGCTGTCAGTTTGTCTGGGCTGTCGGACATTTTAAAGCATAGTCGAAGGATGTTCATGTTTCTAGCACAAAACGTGCCTTGAATATCTGCTTTTATTTTTTTTCTTCTCGATTTTGTTGCTTTTGTACTTATTTATTTTTTCAGGAACTTTTGGTCTGTGTGGGCGAGTCATCAACTCAATTCCCAGGGAATGAAACAACAGAAGGCAGCAAAAAGGACAGAACAATGTTGTTGCTGTAGGTTATAGACGGAGGGACTGGTGCTAGCCATAATTTGCACTAATAATGAAGCAACTGGGAAATAGAGTCTCGGCTCAACTTCGGCCTGCCTGTTCGCCTGCCTGTCATGATGACTGGACCAAAAGCAGAAGGAAAACTTCCGCCCGTTTTTGTCCTTTGGTCCCTTACCTAGTGTGGTAGGTAATGGCAAAGCTTTTGCACTAAAGTAATTGAGTTAACTGGCAAAAATATAATAGCATTGCATGATATTGAAGCTGGTCAAGAGTATAAAAGACAGAAAGAAAGAAAGAGAGAGAGAGAGAAAGAGACTGTCAGAATGACAGACAGTCAGATAATGGCAGTCAGCTGCAAAGACAATGACAAACGGGGATAAACTTTCAGATACTCATAGAGTATCGAGACATCCGAATGCATGAAAATTGAAATTTTATTCAAATGCCAAAGCGATAAAATAGCTAAACTCGACCAAAAAAATAGATTTACATTAATTATGAGGCAGACAGCGAGGCTGTGTAAGAGAGAGAGATATAGAGCAAGAGAGAGGTAGTAAATAAATTCCTGGGCATGAAGTCAAGGAATAGCACCAAGTTGTTTTCGTTGCATTGATGCGCGAGTGGCATTTCAAAAGCAAATTAGTTTATTTGTATGCAGCTGTGTCGGTGGCATGAAAAACTAATAGAGTTGTATAACAAGTTGGGGCCTCCAGTTACCGGAAAAACTGGTAAAAAGAAATCTTCTGTGAGGCGGCACTTCGTCAACTGATAAACTCAGCGTTTTATTGCCAACTCAAATTCAAATCAATGAAGGGCAAACGAAATTTGTTTATTTATGGTTGTCGCACAGCAAATCTATGCACCGATCGATCCATCGATTCATCGATCGTTGCTGTTAGTATTTTCAACATATGCATAACATTGATAAACGTAGCTAATGAAGCAAGAGACAAAACCACTTGATCATGATGACGGCCGGAACATGACGGGGCAAACTGAAGCTAAAGCTGAAGCTGAGACACACAAAACTGAGGGCTGAGATTAGATAAGCTGCTTGAAAACATGACGTTTTTAGTTAACTATGCTTTAGGGCAGATACATTTTCGGAGTTTAGCTAAATAAAGCAATCAAATTGTTGTTTAGATTAAAGAAATTTTGCTCCAGCTCCTTGTAGTCTAAAAACAAATCAACTAAGATAATGTCTAACCTTTTGAATTGGCTTATATTGGTACCGAAACAGACTTCAGCATATCGTCCTAAATTGCTTACATAACGTTGAACACTCAAGATTGGAGCTCTCC